AAAAATATTGATAGCACTGGGACACATCCATCTTGAAGCACATTTGGTGGTGATATATATGTAAGAGGAAAAGACATTGGGTTAAAATTGAACTATCTAACTGATCAGGTATACATTTCACTTAAAACATCAGCCTTGACTAACTTGGGCTTCCATTGAATAATTATGAGCTTCTTTAAGAACCTCCCAAGGAAAGAATGGGCTTTTTTATCATGTCAGAATAGACTTGAGAAACTGCAAGTCGCTTCTGCTGTGAGAGAATTGGCTGTCTACAGAGACGTTGCCCAGAGGTTGCCTGGACATGTTACCATCCTGTGGGAGGCTTCTCTCACATCCCCACATGGGAAGCTGGAGCTAACAGATTGGAGCTCACCCAATCTTGTGGATTCAAACCATAAATCTTCAGATCAGAGCAGTTCAGCCAGCACAAAGGTTTAAGCCACTGCGCCACAATGCTCCTCTGTCTTTAAGAACCTTCCAAGGAAAGTATGGGCTAATGATAGTATATTTGAAAACCTTTTACAAAATGGTTGGAAGGCATGTTTCTCAAGTGTTGAGAAATTTTTGGAAAATCCTGAGCTGATGAGTATGTTTAAAGTACATGAATTAAATATGTACAATAGCTACCTTTCTTTTCACAAAAATGAAGGAAACACAATTTTATGCAAGAAATACCCTTTCCTATACAGGAAATAATATTGCAAGCATCGTAATACAATTTATTTGCAGAAAATGTTTCCTGCACCAAAAATGCTGGTCTCTGTGAAAAAATGTGTGAATTTTGTAAAGAAACTCCTGAACTGTAAATAGCTTTCAAAAATGGTGTGGTGTTTGAAGGCGTTCTTGCAGTAGAAAGAACATTGCTAAAATTAATCACTACTTCCTTCAAGAACATAATTAGCAAAGAATTACATATCTGGAAAGGACCCATGGACTCTCAATAGTTCAACCTGTTATGAGATATAGTGCTATGAATAAAGTAGAAACCAGAATTTTAACTTTGAAGATCTTGGAAAGGATCACATTTCCTTTCAGTTTTATGTGTCAGCTTTTCCAGAACTATCCCTTTACATCATGGGCAGTCATGAGACATGAGTGTGATTGAATAGATCTAGTAATGTCTGCTTTCTCAAGGCACATACTGAGCATGACTGAAGGTAATGCAAAGCCCATTAAGAGGAACTTTCCCCAAACGCTGTTCTTGCTACTATTTTTGCTTCTCCTCCCAGACCCCAGGTATGTGTGTTTGGGAAACTAGGGAAGGGGCAATGGTGATGGGAGCAAGAGGACTGGTAAAAGAAGCAAAATAGATCATTCCAGGCTTGAGGAAAATTTGTCTATCTTTATATACTTTATATACCAAAAATAGTACCTGTTTCTCAGGTAACCAAAATACCACAAGGTCGGGTAGCAAAAGAGAGCTCCAGATCTGAGGCTCTCATACTCGGGTATTAAGTCCCAATAATGTTTAGTTCAAAAATTAAAAAGAACAGAGGAAAGGAAGAGAAACAACATATCTGGCAAATTTCCTTGTGATGAATCTCTTCACATCCTTCCAGATTTATTATTAATTGCCTAGTACTCTCACTCTTCCGGGAACCTCAAGCTCTCATAAATATTTCATCCAAAAAAACAATTATTTTATCAAATACTTTAAGGTTTTTGTTGCCATTTTGTGTTAAATGTCAAGTAAAATCTAATTTATTTATGTAAACACACCAATCTTTTCATGCTTTAACTAATGCACCATGTAGAAATGGATGTGCCTTCTACGATAGCAGAAGACGGCAAAAGCGGTATCACAGGGAGTGAAGGGGAGAGGATAAACCTAGCAGTGAGTTTTGTCATGAGGAACAACACAGTTCCTCATGACAAAAATTGAGAAAGGGGATGGACATTTTGGAAAATATGACAATACACTCCTAAATGTTAATGTACTATGGTTTCAAATGCTGCTGGGTATACAGGATCATACTGTGCCCATTTTCCCTTTCCCACTTTAGCCTTGCACATGAACAACTAAATACCCATGCAAGGCTTCAGTGAAACCATATTGTTCACCAAAGCTGTAGTCTGGTAATTGTAAAGTGTTACATGGAACCCATTTGTGGGACTAAAATGCTCTTGCTGACTTCCACTGCCATAATCTGCAATTATTCCAAGGAGTAGATGCTGGCAGTACATAAGGAGGTATCCAGTACTTCCTTGTAAATTATCTTTTCCCCAGCTGCACAATGGCAAATCGTGGGGTACTCACTGCATCACTTGTGGCTAGTCAGTGACCAGGAAGTAGTCAACTGACATTGTACAGCAGGGGAAAGTCCAGTGGATCAAAGTGTGCTCCTTCTTCCATGGCTTGGTGGATAGCTCCACTCCTGGGCCATTGACTGGGGATGTATCTAGTTGCCATTCACTCAAATAATGAGCAACCTTCACTCCACTTCCCTTGGACACCCATGTCCACAACACAGATCTTCACCAACATCAAAGAATATTTTGGTCATGCATTACTCCTAAAATCCAAACTGTAACCCAAAATATCATTAGTCCCTTGGGGAAAGAAGTTTTAATACCTTTTAGGTCTATGAAAAATGCACATTCTGCTCAGAAATGGCAGCTTTTGCAGAGAAAAAAGAAAATGTGCAGCTTTCTTTACAGGAAGGAATTTGTGCAACCATCGAATGGGCAAAGGTTGCAGGTTAATTTTCTTTTCCTGGTTTTAAATAAGAAGTTCGTTTCTTTTCTCTACTCAGTTCCTGCTGAGAGAGAAAGCAATTCGAAAAAGGAGGAAAATCCAAACTGGAGAAGATAATGCATCAAGGCTATGAATGTAAGTTTTTGCAGCAAATCTGCACAGTTTCTCAATTTTCTGCATGGTTTATGTTGTGACAGAAACAAATAAACAGAATTCTTTCAAGTTGCAGGAGCATTGAGAGTGCCATTTTAATTCCTCCAAAAGTTTCTCAATGCACTGGAACTCCAAATTTGACTTGCAAATTTATGCTCTATTCTTAGGAAAGATATGCAAGAAAACATTAAGTGTAAAGTGACTGTGGCTGGCCTCTCTGTAAAATTCCTTGAATGTGGCAGGATAATTGCACAATAGAAGTCTCTTTGAGGTGCAACCCAGGTCTTACCTGCATACCCAGATAAATTTAAACTGGGGCCTCCCCACCACAGTTGGCTTCAAGCTCACCAGCCTCCTCTTTCTACCTCTCACAGAAAGTGAAAATTCTTTACTCACCCACATAAACAACACGCACATTTTGAAAACATAAATAAGAGACTTAAAACTTGTTCTGCCCTATTTCCAAATCCTAAAGTTGATCTTCTTAAGCCTCAGAGGGAGATGGAGTGAGCAACAGCAAAGCCCTTAAGCTAATTAATGCTGCTCCTCCCTCCTGCGCGGGGAAGATATTTTTTCTAAAAATACAGCCATAGCCCATTTTAATACCATCTTTCTGCACGTCAGCATCTCTGATAACAGCAAGGAGCTGAGCCTGTTTTCATCTCTTTCCCCTGGAACTCCCCATGTACTTTGCCATTTATTTTTGGAGGGAGGGAGCATTGTGAAGAGAGGGAAAGAAGGAATGGAAGGATGAGTTATTAATCTGGTGTGTTATAGGCTTGTGCTTACATGACTGGCTACACTAACAATGCTTTAATAATATCCGATTTTCAGTATCTGATTTGTTTACATATTCATGATAGCAAAGCAAGAAGACTTTCAGATAATGAAGTGCTTCTTACCCCTCTTCTGTTTCATCTCAACACACTGTATTTGATTTCATTCTCTTACAAATGCGAAGGCAGGTTAAGATCAGGATTTCAACAAAAGCAGGCAGAATTACCCAGAAGATGATCCAATATAATGCGTTTTCCTATCTGTGTAAACATATATTGTTGGCTCTGGATAAATAAACCTCTGAGACACTAGTTAGTACATGCAGCTCAGAGGAGGAAAAGGGAGTATGACAGGAACGTGGATATGGAGAAGGATCTGGAGCCTATTTGATAACATATACTCCATGTTGTGAATATCAAGCAGATGTGGTTACTGTCCTACTTCTTTCCTCTCCTATTTTCCTCTTTTTCCCTGTGGATATATCAGGACTGACTACCACCAGGCCCAGTGAGGCAACTGCCTCAGACATCACATGTGATGGAGTGCACATGTGCGGGCAGGCTGTCCTTTCTACTGCGGGACAACATTGCTAAGGGATGCTCAACTTGTCTTGCATGTAAACTATCCTGCTGCTCTAAAGTGCAATGAAGGACACTGCCCATCATCAGAATTGAAGGAACGTTCATTCATACACCCTGGCAACATCTCTATGTAACTGTGTGTGCCAAACCACTTGTCCTTTATCACAAGTGGCAAAATGAGTGAGCTCTAGGAAATATGAGATCCTAAGTTACAGGGTGCGGGGGCTGCAATGTTTTGTGCAACATAGATATGGTGCCTTTGGATGGATGTGCAACTGAGAGGACAAAGAAGGGAGTTTATAAGGCTGAGAGTGTCCCTCCCTTCCACTTACATTTGCCTCATCAAAACTGAGTTGCAGGTCTGTCAGTGTTTCACACTGCACAATTATAACACATTGCTCCCACTTTGAGTTCCATAGCTCCATCCTACTAATCTAATTAGGGACTTATAACTCCCTGGTGTATTCCACTGAACTATAGAATTAGAGCTCTGTGGTAGAGAAGTAAAAAAATAAATGAACTAATCCCATGATTCCATAGACAGGACCCATGAAGTGGCATAACATTGATATAATTGTGGAGTGTGGATATATCTCAGAAAAAGCAAAATACAAATAAAAGCAGTAAATAAATAAAAATGTTAGGAAGGAACAACTGACTAGAATTATTAATTTCAGAAAATTGCCATACCAGGAAGATTTCCAGATCCAATTTCCATATTTTTCTAAATTTCCCCCAATCAGGCTAGTTCTTCCATTAGCAGGCAAGAGTCCACACACATTCAACCATAAAGGTGAGTATTTACAAGTGGTGTATTTCTGTTGACATCCAGCAAAGCTTTCTCATTACGACGCAGAATGTCGATGTCCAAAGTGAGGAGGCCATCTTTGTGTTTGGCTGCTGAGTGGGGAGCAGCACCCTCCTCCTCTTCCTTCTTCTTCCTCCCAATTTCCCCTCCATTCATCTTGCCATGAGAGTACCCCCAAGAAGGCAATGAGTAGGATGTGTGATGAGTGGCACACATTTTCAGCTCCAATTGAGCAAGCTGCAGTGGTGGGTTTGGCAGCAAAAGCAGCGGCTCCTCAGCCCCACAAAGGTGAACTAACAAAGTCAATGCCCCCCAAAAGTCAGTCAGGTTTGGTTTGGTCAGAAACCGGTGGAGTTTGGTAATGGTGATAAAACAGGGATGTGTGAGAGGTAAGGAAAGCGCTAGACAGAGGATCTGAAGATGCAAAGCAAAGGAAGCCAAGGACGATAAAGCTCATCAGAGGTAGGGGAGAAGAGCATGACCATATGCCTCAGGAGGAAGAAAGGTGCTTGTGTGCAGCTAAAAGGGTGGAGGATTGGGCAGCAAACATGTTCTGAAGCAGTCACGCAATTTCTACAGGTCTGGCTCCTTGCAAAAAGAATCATTTCAGGAGAGACGGTGAAGAGTTAGGTATGTTCATAGCACATACTGTAATTTCATTATTACTAAAATGCTTTTTGTTCTTCCTCTGTCACCCTCTCTCTTTCTCTGTTTGTTTCGTTTTACTAAAAAATACCATAAATCACAAACTAGATTTTCTTTGAAGACAGAAAAGGGTCCCAAGGGTAAGTCTGTGCTATTTGGCTAGTGCTGGTGGCGCTGCTACACTAGACTGCGTGAGCCACTGGAGTACCTGCGTCTCTGAAGCAAGGAGCTGGGGGGACAGGTCTGGTGGGGGTGGTTGTAGGGTGGTGGCGGAGGCGGAAGCGGGGGCTGATGGATGATTTTCACCGGGGTGCCTTGGAGCCCGCTGCCTAGTACACGCAAGGGGGTGGAGTTGCAAGAATCGGAGGAGACGTAGCGTGTCAGAGTCTGGTTGAGGGCCGGCTCCATGCGAGCGAGGCATGGTTTGTCCAAGACTATGACTTTGACAATCTGCTGGCACTGTACAAGTGTCCCTGCCGAGGCAGGGTAAGAGGGCACCAATGCTGTCTCCAGCCTCTCCCGTGGCATGTTAGGAAGCGTGCTGGGCTGCATTCCACTCTCGAGCCCCGGGACAGAGTTGTGCTGGTACGTTTGAAGCCTGTTGTGAATTGACACCTAGTTTAGAAACAGTCAAAGAAGCATTAAATGTTACAAGACTTCTTCCCGTCTGCTGCTGCGGGCTGCCCTTTCCCTTCCACCCTCCATCCAGTATCCTTCCCCATAAGCCACAGCCCACCTTAACCTCTGCCCCTCTTTCCCACCAGTAGGCAGCATCTTCCCACCCCATCCCCAGGCATCACCCCCAAATGTTTCATCTAGAAATAAAGAGTTGCGTTATAGCAAAGGCGGTGATGCTGTTCTCCACATATACAGCACAACCTCAACTATCAAACTGAGCAAATTCAGCATCTAGAATGCATCAGAGGTTTTGCCTTGAGAAGGTATAAGCAGTTGGTGGCATGAGCTTTTTAGGCTACAATATTATGTATTATTTAGAACTGTTGGTTCTTTCCAGTTCTGCTCACTTCCCACCTCACTGCCCCGCCCCATATTGTGTTATGAATGTAAGCAACTCAGGATAAAGATGTTGTTACTTTTGCTTTATGGTTATCCTTTTTAAAGGAGCTGCTATGACTAGAACTCCTACAAAGTCCTACATCATCTTGGAATCCATGGGCCAACAAGCCAGATAATTGAGGTTGCATATATTTGCAGAGAGGAAAAAAAAGAGATTTGCCGACACTCAGAGAAAGACTTGAGCTCTTCCTAGCTCCTGTCTTTCTGAGGAGAAAGGTGCACACATGACTCACTAATCTGCTTACAAAAGAAGAAAATTAAAAAGGAAAAGAAAAAAAAACACACACACAAGCAGAAATCTGACATATTTTAGCAAACTTGAAGCTCGCTCTGATCCACTTGATGGTTTGCAAGTGAAAAGAAAATGATTTTACGTATGCTGAAAAGTAAAAGTAAAAAAACCACAAACTACCCATCCAGTTTTGTATAATGGTTTTTTTAAAAAAGAAAAATTGATGAAATGGCAGCAGATCAGGTAATCTCATAGAAAATGGAGATGCTTGCTTCTGTTGAGAAGTAAGAGGAGGGAGAAGGGAAAGGGCTTGTCGTGTCTTCAGTGAAAAGCTCCGAGGGTCTCTCAATCTCTGACTGAAAAGAAGAACTCAAATGGAATTAAGTTCTCTATGAAAGAGGTATCTTTGGGGCAATGGGCAAAATCTCTAGAAATGAAGAGTTTCGGAAGCATGTGACTCCTCAGGACATTGGGAAGTAAGAAACAACAAGAAGAGAAGAATCTCTTCTGTGGAGTACTGTCTGCTTGAGTCTGGAATCCCCCCAAGGAAGCCATATTTGTGAACTGTCTCCTTAAGAGTTCTGTGTCCATAAAATGCTAATTTATTTATGTCTTTATAGGTGCAAAAGGTGCATGTGAAGCCATGGAGATGCCTGTCCCACCTTCTCAAGGCAGGAGCAGTAGGCAGGGAAATGAACTAACGTTTACAAAATCCTCCATCATGGTCAGGAGCTGAGGAACAAGCACATTGGTGGTTGCAAATTTTCCTCTCAGGCTGAGGGAACAGAAAGCTGTGGGGCAAAATGGCCTCAGAGAGAAGAGGCCTAAACAGAAGTAACCGAGAAAGAAATGATGGAGCAGTGTATCTGCCTAGAAATGGAAGGAATGATGGAGAAATGCAGCCTTTGCCCCCATGAGAAATAGCACTGAGAAAGAGATGGAGGTGGGTGATATCAGTGGGAGAAAGAGTTTTTGGAGAAACGAAAAAGGCAGGGCAAATTAAATATTTTGGAGGAATTTCCCCAGACTAGAGTTTTCCTGGTAAACAAGGAGCCATAAAAGGACAGTGGAGTTCTGTCTCCTGAACAATAAAGTTCTCTCAGCAACCCATCCCAAGTTGGGAGACTTGTAGCCTGAGCTTCCAACACATGAAGACTCTCATTCAATATGTTCTAGGCCCTGACAGAGATACCAGTGTCTAGGGCAGAAGAGCCTATGGGGAAAGACCACAGCGGTGAGTTTGGGCTGGGTTTCTGCCATGGGGGGTGGCCTGCTGGGGGAGCGTCTCAGTTGCGTCTCTGGCTTCTCCTGGAAGTGTGTTGGGTGGGGATGAGGAAGGAGCAGGTTAGTCTCCAAGAGTTCGGGCGCTCGCTCCATGAAGGATGTGTTAACAGTTATAGAAACGGCTTGAAAAAAATGCTTTGAAGTTTAATCTGGATTTGAAAGTTGTATTACCCGTCCTAGCAGTAACTTTTTATTGTATCTCTGGAAATTGGTAAAATTGTCAGTCTGGCTGGGGAGGCATTGATTAAAACCTGAGAAAAGAAACAACAGAGAATGTAAGAAGAGCTGAACTGAGGGAGAATTACTTACCTCAGCTGCTGTGTATTCTACTTACCTCCACTGTGTTGTCCGGGACCTTCTCTCCCAAATCTTTTTTGCCTTTGAAAACAAAAGAGAACTTTTCTGAGTGGAATAATAACTTTATTTTTGTATCCCACCACCATCTCCGGCCCAGTGTATCTGTCCGAACGGATCTCCCTCTACGTCCCACCTCGGAGTCTAAGATCTTCTGGGGAGGCCCTGCTCTCGACCCCGCCTCTATCACAAGTGAGATTGGTGGGGACGAGGAGCAGGGCCTTCTCGGCGGTGGCCCCCAGTCTGTGGAATTCACTCCCCGGGGAAATTAGATCTGCAACATTGCTACTTTCCTTCAGGAGAAAACTAAAAACATGGATCTGGGACCAGGCATTTGGACAAGCGGGTAAATAAAGAAGAACTCCATTGATGCCTAGGAAATGACTAACGGATTGGTTATATGGAACTCTGGAAACGAAACGCTGATTATAAGAATGACTTTTATATGATGTTTTATATGATGTGTTATGTACTGGTTGTTGACTGTTTTAATTGTGATAACTGTTTTAATTACGTTTTTGTATATTATGTGTAATTTGGATAGGCATCGAATTCTGCCTTTTCTGTAAGCCGCCCTGAGTGTATAGGCATCGAATTCTGCCTTTTCTGTAAGCCGCCCTGAGTCCCCCTTCGGGGGTTGAGAAGGGTGGGGTAAAAGTACCACTAATAAATAAATAAATAAATAAATCTCCCTGAAGGGACTCAGGGCAGCTTACATGGGGACCAAGCCCAGTCAAACAGAGTTAAAATATAACACAATAAAATACATATAAAAAATATCATAAAACCATAAACCATCATACAACAACCAGTAGCCAATCATAGTGGATATTTCAGAACTAAGGGGCGAGGCAAGGGCTTGTGCAATACCACTGCAAGGACGGGGCTGATAGAAAAATGCAAGAACCAGATGGTAAGTTAGGGCTAGAATGGCCAAGTCAGTTAGTGCAATACAACTACAGGGGCAAGGACAATAGTCAAGTACAAGAGCCAGATATTAAGTTATGGCTAGAAGGGTCAATTCATCTAGTGAACCGATTAATCAAAGGCACATTGGAACATCGGTATTTTTAGGTCTTTACAGAAAGTGGACAGGATAGGCACTAATCTAATCTCCCTGGAGATAAAGTTCCAGAGCTGGGGGGCCACCACTGAGAAGGCCCTCTCCCTCGTCCCCACCAACCGCACTTGTGATGGAGATGGGAGTGAGAGAAGGGCCTCCCCAGCAGATCTTAAAGCTTGCACAGGTTCATAGGGAAAGATGTGATCACAAAGCTTGAACTGGGACCGGAAACTTATCAGCAGCCAGTGGAGCTGTAATTCATTCCAGTTAGCAACTTGGCTGCTGACCTTTTTACTAATTGCAATTTTTGGCCCATCTTCAAAGGCAGTCCCACATAGAGTGCACTGGTTTTTTTTCTTTCACCCCAGAATTTAATGCTATGAACCCCAGTCTCCCATCCACACAATAGCTAGGCTCAGAGCTACATAGCTTTAGAAAAATGTTTCCTCAGATACTTTCAGGCCATGTACAGAACATTACAAAGGCCAGAACCTATCATCATGGGCTTTCTAGAGATTTATTGCTGTATAGGAGCCCCTGGTAGTGCAGTGGGTTAAACCCTTGTGCCAGCAGGACTGCTGACCAAAAGATTGGCAGTTTGAATCTGGGGAGCGGGGTGAGCTCCCATCTGTCAGCTCTTGCTTCTCATGCGGGAACATGAGAGAAGCCTTCCACAGGATGATAAAACATCCGGGCATTCCCTGTGCAACGTCCTTGCAGACAGCCAGTTCTCTCACACCAGAAGCAATTTGCAGTTTCTCAAGACACACAAAAAATTGCTGTATACAGGTCCTTGACTGTAACACTGCCAGACTGATAAAAGATCCCTATACCTTTCTCACAAAAAGCTAATCCCCATAGTTTAACCCAAGCTCAAGACTTCACAAGAAAGTTAAAAAGAAAAAAAGCTTTCCCATTCTTCTGCAGTGATAATTTTCTTCTTTTTGCTTCTCCTTGCTCGAGGATCTGGTGACCCAGTTTGGGCATTTCAGCATAACAAATTCAGAAACACAGATAGCTCAGAGACTGTGAGTTTCCTTAAGTTGTTACTGGGTCAGCTCCAAATAATCGGTCTTTCTACTAGAAAGGTGCCTGGATTATAGCTAATGTAATTATCAGGAGGTGTACAGTTTTGAAGTTACTGGTGAAAATCTTGTTTCAGTCCATTTTTGAAAAATGGGCATTTAACCATTACATCATATCTGGAACAGAAAGGGCTTGAAAACCACTCAATATACTCATGTAAAAGTCTATAAATTGTAGTCAAAAAATTCAACTAAAATCCTGGGTCGACTTATTCAAGGGTCAATGGAAGTACTGCACCTTAACTGGGTTTTTTTTTAAGGACCATTCCCTGAGTTGAGTGAAAAAGCTTAGACCTTCCTGGAGACCCTAAAAGGAACACTGACTCCCTCTAAACTCTCAAATGTGGAACCACCTCTGACTTTTTTTTTTTTTTGAAAGCCTGGGTGGGGAAATGATAGCAAGGAGCAGCCCTGGTGATTTTCCCTCTCCATGAAAAATCCTCAACTTATCCATGGGTCATATAAAAATGCATAATTTTGGCCCCAAAACCTGCCCTCAACATATACATGAGGTCAAGGTATACATGCATATATATATAGAGAGAGGGGGGTGGGGGTGGGATTCAAATGTGAGAGAAGCTAAACCTAAATAATTCATTTATCCAGACCAAGGGTTTTGTGTCTCAAATTTTATAGTATAGGTTTGAACAGTTCCATATCTATCCATGTTAATACTGAATTAAAATTGCCATCTTTTTTCTTATATGGACCATTTTTTAAAAATTTCTCCATCAGTCTTTTTATTAATAGTTAGCCAAATTATAGGCTATTTTGTATTGTGGAAATTATAAGTTTATTGTTAAGGGCAGAGTTTAAGGGGGCGAGGGGAGGGGGAGGAATACTATTATAGGCTACACTTCCATTGTCATTCTAGCTTTGAGATTCTGAGAGCTGCAGTCCAGAAGAAATAACTTTTCCATGCTATATTTATTGGTAATAAAAATAGGATTTCACAAATGGATTCATTAAGAAATGCAAAACCTTTTTTTAAAAAGCCTAATATCTTCCATTCTGGAATGTTTCAAGGCTCGATTCTATTATACTATTCTTCAAATGGCTATATCTGACTCTTTCCATTGCAGCGAGTCCTTTATTCAGGTGTACTCCTTTGGAGAAGTAACTGAAGAGGGGTTTTCCCTCTTCTTGTTCCGACTACCCAGAATGCCTATGCATGAACCTATGCGCCAATTAGCTGCTGTGGTAAGAAGGGAGGAATATACACGTATGCCTCTGACCTGTTGGAGATCCTTGCTTGGATTGCATTTCCATTTGAGCGCCATTAGTCCTTAAAGTGATAGTCTTTGCTCCATGTTGCTTCTCCAGCTCCCCTAAGAAAAAGGGAGAGAGACATTTGAAGTGATTGGAGAAATTAAAGGAAAGTACAGCCATAAGAGAGGATACAAAAGAAGAAGAAAATGGAAATAAGGCCAAAGAGACAGAAGGAAGCACAGAAGTTAAGGGAGATACAGTTATTATGGTATGTATATTATGTGTATGCATTGTGTATAACTAACAGACTCAGAGACACATACATACAATAGGACTGTGACTGTGCTATGCTTTGATAAACAAAAGCATTATTTGCCACGAAAATACATATTCCACAGCTATATAGATAATGCACAGTAAATGTGCACATAAGTTTGCTCGACTACAAGAACTGACTCTTGTATTCTGAAAACTAAAAGCACAAAATAGACATAGAAACATTACTTCCTTGAATTACAAGCCAAATACCCATTTATAGCCCTATGGAAATGCATTACATAATGATCTCTCATTAGTACCCCTATAGATAAATGTGGGAATATGGGTGTTCTAAAGGAGAAGAGAATATAACAAAGTACACATAATTGCCAGTCAATATATGCCCCTCCAGATGTTACTGGATTTCAACATCCACCAGTGCTAGCCAGGATGGTCAATAGCAAGGAATGCTAGGGCCTAAAAGAGGTTCCCTAAATGTCCCCAAATGAAGAACAACATGAGCTTAAACAATAACAACTAGGAGATGATCTGAGGAAAGGTGTGTCCTTCCTGGTCTGGTGGAAGATATGTGGTGTTACCAGACCCCACCTGTTTTAAAGAGAATCCTTCTAAACCAGAGGTTCTCAACCTGTAGGTCTCCAGATGTTTTAGTCTTCAACTCCCAGAAATCCTAACAGCTGGTAAACTGACTGGGATTTCTGGGAGTTGTAGCTGAGGACATACAGCTTGAGAACCACTGATCTAAACTACATGTGTGAAACATAAGGCCTGCAGGCCGAATCAAGCCCGCCACCTCATTTTATTTGGCCCACAAGGTTTTCAATGCCAGGGCAACATAGTTATACAGCCTTACAATTACACATGGGCCTTTGAAGACAACCATAAGGCTGCTGTAGCCCTTGGTGGAAATGTGTTTGCAATCTTGGCTCTCACCCTTGCTTTGCATCTTGCCCCCACCCTTTCCCCCAAAGAAGAAATGGCACCCTGTCAACCACAGACACAAAAATACACAAAGACACAGACATATGTACATACAGACAGAATGACTGCATGGAGTCTGGACCACGCCGGGAGCCTTACATTCAATTCGGATCTGCTCTAGCTCCATCACCTCTGCTATTGACTCTTTTAGGTCTTCCACAAATTTCTGCATTTCCTCTGCACCCAGAGCACAGAAATGAAGTACCTGTTTCTTCTCTGAGCCTGAAACTGGAGTCACCAAGGTGATGCCATAGGGATAGTCTATGAGAAAAGAAGGAGCAAGATTGTGACCCACATGTTGTAAACTTTCAAGCAAGACTGAAGTAATCTGGAAAAGGTTGGTAGTTCCATGATAGAGCTTTAAATGCAGAAGGATCTGGGTTCAGTCCTTGACTTCCCCAGTTAAAAGGGCCATGTAGCAGATCATAGAGAAGATCTGGGCTGTAGATCTCAGACAGTAGCTACCAGTGAGAATAGACCAAACTAGTGTTGATGGATAAACAGTCTGAACTGCTTTAAGAGAAGCTTTCCAAACAACTCTCCTAAATGCATTAGCAGTAAGTAACTGCAACCCCCAGTTAACACTAATTACATCCTAAAAAGTTTTCAGGAAAAACAGTGGATATCCTCCTCTGGTGTGATCCACAATGTGACCAAAACTGTCACAGACTTACATTCATTCTCAAAGAGATGGAACTGCATTCCTAACAGACCGACTGACTTGCAAAACGTGTAAGTGGAGGAGCTTTTCTTCTTGGGGCAAAGCTTGAGAATCTGTTAAAGCATAAAAGAAAGAAGGACATCAAGTCAGCAGCATGAGCAAAGCAATCTGGGAAAGAGTGAAGCCAAAATAAAAAAGAAGCCTTTTAAGAGAAGTACTTAAACAGAACTTGGGTGCACATATTTCAGGAATTGTGTATTTCTGCTTGGCTGGGGATTAGACTAGATGACCTTTGCAGTCTATTCCAACTCTAAGAATCCCTAATTGTGAGTGAGAAAATGGCTTATCAGTACCTGATAATCTAATCTTATGGAATATACGTTAAGTCATTTTCTTGCTTTGACTTACCACAACAATCCTGTCTTGCCTGTTCCTACATGCAAGAATGAAGAGCTCTTGGCCACATGTCAGAAACTATCCATGGGATTCCTCATTCAGCTGATGAAATGTTTCTTCCACAGGTTGGAATCCTTTTGGTGACTTACACAAGTTGAAGGCTCACTTATATTGCCATAAATCCTTTCCCATCAAGATCATAGTGGTTGTGGAGGAACTTCAACAAAGGCTGTTCCTGTCAGAAGATGAAGCCACTCTGCCAGCTCTCTATGGGGTGGCTTTTTGATGTTTTCTCTTGTGGTGCAAGAGGTTGCAGCTCCCCTCCCACCAGTCAACAAATCTGTGAGAAAGATAGGAAGTCCTGCTTCTTCTTGGGGCATCCTCGGTGAATGTTAGGAAGGGGGTAGAAACATTATCTTCCTGTGCCTCAGTCATCAGTTGAATGTACCTGCTTCATGCAACCTGGCATCTAGCTGGTAGAGCAGGTTTGTGAAGGCATTCAGGATCACGACAATAGTGCCATGGTTATGACTATGTACAATTCACGAATATGGCTCATTTACAGGTCCATAACTCGAGGTTTTCCACCCGCAACTACAATAATACATTCCAGCCATAATGTCTGCATGCTTATAAAATTTTTGAACAAAGAGAGTGACAGGCAGAAAAATAAACACTGGCAGCCTTCAAAGATGGAAGTAAAGTTGGATTTGCAGACAATGGACATCATGTCTATGCCACATGCCCTGCCACCACCATCCAATAATTTTCTTCCCAATATGAACAAGTTGAATCGATTTATGGTCAAATCACTATTTGCCAGCTGCAAAATGGGAAAAGTTGCGCAACCATAAAACAGCTTCCAAATTCAAAGCATTATATCAGTAATTAGGAGGAACGCTATCTATAACAGGCAACACTCCCAGCTCTGACATTCATATACCAACAAACTTCCCGAGGCTATTGTATGCAATCCAACTGATGCAGAGTGTGAAATAAATGGACAGGCAGCCCCCCCACCCCCACCTTTTTCTTAATATTAGAACTTCAACTGCATGGTGGTCATAATGGGAGAAACAAAGGAAAGTATTTTTTCACTGGAAATGTAATAAAACTATTACATTTCCTACATTGCAATATAGCAGAGACTGGAAAGCTCCTAACCATATTTGTATTGTCTAGAGGGCTGGGTATTTCACTGATTCTAAATGCACATTTTCCCCATATAAATACCTAAAAAAACTGAGTGTATCTTAGAATCACAGGTGCCTGTGTGTGTGTGTGTGTGTGTGTGTGTAGATATATATCTCGCTTTTTACTGTTGGTGTTACTGAAATTATTATGCGTCTTAGAATTGATGGTATTTTAGATTTGATGAAGTACTTTACTACAGTAGTACTGTAGTACTTTGAGCCAGGGCTATGCAATGGTTGGACCAGGAGTCCAGGGATCCAATTCCTCGTCAGCCAAGAAAACCCACTGGTGACTTTGAGGCGATCACACTATCTCAGCTTTAGACAAATGCAATGGCAAACCTACTATGAAAAAAATCTTTCCATCAAAATCCTATGGTAATTTTGCCATAAGTCTCAGTCAACTTGAAGACACATGGCACATCATTACTATTCTAATCTAATCTGTTGTATTATATTAAGTCTGTATACTTCAAGGCCCAGATATTTCTCAAGAACTAAATCCATATGTAATTTGATTAAACACAGACAGAATTATAAATAGAAGCCAGAGATTTCTAATACAGGCTTTATAAAGCACAGTTCCTCTTTTGTTTACTTGCAGATGGCTCTGCATCTGTACTTCTAAATGAGAAAATAAGGTGATTTATCACTTTAGGCTAAAGTAGACATAAATAATGCACAGACCTAACAATGTATGCAAATTATATGTTCTTAAAAACTATAGGAAAGAGGGTGTTCAGGGTGCCGAATCAAGATCTGTACCCTAATATGTGAGGGGAAGGATATAATCCCTTTCTCTCTGTTGCATTCTCCCAGATTATTGGATGAATTCAATACTAACCCTGAATGTGCTAGTGGAACTATTTCTTCCAATGCTACAATTAGATATGGAGAGGGACACTCTGGATGGAGAATCCATTTAGGGGGCAAAGGTTTAAAGCCCCTTAACCATACACTATTGTCCCAAACTGAATTGTGCCCACTGTATTAAATCGTTTTTGCTTTTGTTTTGTTTTTTAAATCACACTATTGCTAATTTTGTGAACTTACATCTTCGTTTTGGATCAACCAAACAGAACAGTTTTAAAATCGCATAACTAGAAACATTAATAGAGTGTAGAGAATGTGTTGAGAACGATGCTGTAGAGAATGTTTTATCTAGTCTCTCGGGAGCCTTGTCAAATAAACACTGTCAGTATTACAGACACTGGTTTCACTAAGCCCCAATAAAACAAAGTAGGATCCAGATGGCGATGCATTGTTATTCTGTGGTGCCTTTTGCTGTCACTGCGTATGCCAGATTCTCTAACTATATATCCATTTAGTTGTTTCTCACAGTTTAGCTTATGACCCAAGGATGAACAAAAGCTGGCTATTTGTTTCAGTGCAGTTTTCTGCCTTTTTGATGGCTGACATACACATTTGAGAAACTGGCATGTGGTGCCGTAGTGGGTTTCTTCCTACTTTATTCTGAATTTCTATGCAATTCATATACTGTTGTCAAAATCCTTGCAGACTGAGTGGTGGCTCAGTATATGGAAGATATTGGACAGAAACCTATTCGTTTCATACACACATGTAAGCTCTCTTATCCAAGTGGCTTTACCTTTTCAGCTACAAGGATAAATTCAGGTGATGTTTGAATAACCAGAATTCCAAAAGTGTACCCATTTCACAGAATCATAGAATAATAGAGTTGGAAGAGACCACATGGGCTATGCAGTCCAATCCCCTGCCATGCAGGAAAAGCACAATCAAAGTACCCCTGACATGGCCATTAGCCTGTTTAAAAGTTTCCAAGGAGTTTAAATTGTATTGTTAGTCCTGCCAAGAGTAGAACCATTGGATCAATCTACCTTTCAAATGCCGACTGAATTGGAGTTTGGGAGGTCAGATATCATCAAAATACTGATGATGCCAACATAATCGGTCTTCCATGGTAGTACTGAATAGCTATTTGATACAGTGAAAGACTGGGTAAAAATGAATATACTGAGACTCCAACTATACAAGATGAAAGCACTGTTGCTTAGCAGGAAAGCTAACCTGGGTTGAGATCACTATCTGTTTTGGATGAAGTAGCATTTCCTTCTGAGAGATTTCTGGGGCCAAGAGTGCTTTTGCCCAGTTTCATTTGGTGAGCCAGGTGTTCTCTTCTCTAGGCAATCAAGAAATATTATAAACAATATAATAATGCATTATCTGGATGGGGAAGTGGTTTGAATGTTGGACTACGACTCTGGAAACTACTACAAATCCCCACTCAGCCATGAAAACCCGTTTGGAGACCCTGGACAAGTCACACTTTCACAGTTCCAGAAACTCCTGTAACAGACTTGTTTTAGGCAAACCATACGTCAGAAATGACATGAAGGCACACAAGGGTGCACACCATAGATTGGGCAAAACATCACAAGACAATGCTTCTGGAACATGGCCATACAGTCTGGAAAACTCACAGCAACCCAATAAAGATTATCCTGGCAAACTGAGGCTATAGTGAAAGCAATGAAAAATCATCATGTCAGACTTTGTTAAAACCCTTAATGCTGCATTTCCAAAGGAAAAAATGCAGGATCACACATTTCCCACTTCTGGCCACGGTTACTTCTGCCTTGGTAACATGAAGATGAGACTACTGTAAGTGCGCTTTGTAGTGATCCCTTTGAATAGTGTTCAAATACTGCAACTGCTTCAAACTGCTGCTGAAAAGGTACTAAGCGGACTACTGGAACATGTCACACGGAGCGTATTACTCCAAAGTTTTCTTCTAATAATCTCAAATGTTTTCTAGGCTAATGCAAAGTCATGGTTCAAAACTTTAAAATTCTGAACAGCTCAAGGAAACAAATACTCCAAGTTCCAACCTTCTCTCTCGGACTGTAAAAAACTTGCCATCTGTTGTTTGTGTTTTCATGAATCCCATCTGCATTCCTATCCAATCCTTGTTTGTATCAACTTGCGAGACTTTTCTTCCCACTTAGAAACTCAAAAACATTTATTCTAACATACGGTGCATTTTTGTTTATGCACCATTCCTAAAATATGTGTTGTGTACACATTTCCTCCACTGATTAAAGCAAATTTCTAAGTCTTATTGCTATGAGCCTTCATGTCATTTCTGGCTGATGGTTACTGTATAAAGCAAACCTATCACTTTTGTTCAGATGAGGATTGCCATGGTCATCCTCTAAAGCAGGGGTTCTCAAATCTTTTCAGCCACAGAGCCCTTTTTGAAGCAAAAGTTTCTCTTGGAGCCCCAAGAAATGTTATTATATATTATATGGTGGGAGGGAAATAGGGTTTTGAAAGCAAATAAAGTGGGGGGGGGAGGGAATAGTCTGGGCGGTGAGAAAGAGTTTGGGGCCCCTTCCACGCAGCTGAATAAAATCCCACATTTTCTGCTTTGACCTGGAATATATGGCAGTGTGGACTCAGATAACCCAGTTCAAAGCAGATATTGTGGGATTTTTTGCCTTGATATTCTGGCTTAGATGGCTTTGTGGAAGGGCCCTGGGCAGTGAGGCAGGCTGGGGAGAAAGAATCTGTTTTCTGGGAGGACACTGCTGCTGTTTCCAGCAGCTTAAAATGTCCCTGCATTTCTCAGGAGGAGGAAAGAGGAGGAGGCAGGAAGCAGCATGGCACCACGGAGTCCCTCACTATCACCCATAGAGCTCTATGGAGCACAATTTGAGAACCCCTGCTCTAAAGCTAAAAGAGGTATAAATAGCCCAAGGTTATGACTGAACAAATATTTTAATTCTGGTCTCCCAGAATCCTAGTCCAACATTCAAACCCCACTACACCACAAGAGACCTATCATGCATTGTGATGCAAAATGGGTAGTTTCAGTGGAAATCCATCACTGGTTCTCTCATAAGAATCTATGCACCCAGTGAACCATCTTTGGAGACTGTCTGAGGAACTACAAGAAAGGGACTTTTCAGTCATAGTGCCTCAGGTAACAGTAAACTACATACATGTAATTTGTATGCTTCTATGTTGTAATCTGGCATTGAATTATTATCTCTGAGTCTCCTTCAGGATGGAGATAGAGGAGGGTAAAATTACAGTAAATAAGTAAATAAATAAATAGGTCTGTAGGCTGCAGGGAAGACCCACTTCCTGCATCTTCCACAGCTGAATGTCATTATAATTTCCACTGCTGAAAATGCTGTGATGTGTCAGATTCCTGTACTTTGCTTTGCCTCACAGTTTCACAGGGATCTATTCTATGGCATGAAAGAAAGGATGTTCTGAGAGCTTCCTATCCCATGGAGTTTCAGTGGTTGTTGCTGTATTTCAACAGCTGTAGGTGAAGTGCACAGCCCACAAAGAGCAATAGCCCTTCCAACAGCATCAGATAGCCTACTCTGGACCTAAACTCTGAAACTCCTGTCTGAAGGAGTCTCACTTAATTCCCTCACTAATGAGGTGTAAATGGCAAATAAATATTCTGCTCTTTCAGAGGACATTTGATATATTGTAATAGATTTGTTGTTGTGTGCTGCCCATTTTTAATTCATGTGGTTGTATCCCTATTGGTACTGTATCTGTATTTTCCCCCTGTTATTCTTCTTTTATCATTCTTCTGAGGAGGGAGAGTGCACAGATATCCTTAAGTGATGATAGAAAATGATAACAGATGGCCCAATGCAGTGGTTCTCAACCTGTGGGTCCCCAGATGTTTTGGTCTTCAACTTCCAGAAATACTAGCAGCTGGTAAACTGGTAAACTGGCTGGGATTTCTGGGAGTTGTAGGCCAAAACATCTGGGGACCCACAGGTTGAAAACCACTGGCCCAATGTATTTCAAAGAAAGGAGAAGGAAAAGTAGGAATATGTGGTAAATCTCTCCTGGAATATGTCAGTTTGGAATGTATAGGGGAGATGCTGTGACTGACTGTTCCTCTGAGTCTATGGAACAGAAGCATATCACAGAGAGAAGATGTCTGGGTACAGACTTCTTGCTGAGGTGCTAGCTTTCAGCATACAGGTAACTTTCAATTCATCTGTGCGAATATAGTACATTGGACATGAAAATAACTCATGTGCTTTTTTAGTATGCTGACTTCAACCCTTTTTCAATACAATGATCCTTCCGGCCAATATCAACTTACCACCAACAAGTCATTGAAGAGGAAAACCTCCCTCTGGTGAGCAGCCTGCTTCTGCACTTTGTTGACATCTGTCACTTCATAAAGACGACTGCAGCAGACTAACCGACGATGTGGCACTGATAGGACCTGGAAAACAGAGCCTGAGTGTGAAAGTCTTTATCTACCATCCCTGACCAACTGCACTTTTGTCACTCCATGGGAAAGCATTGCTTTGTGGCTGCTTCACTCACACAATCTGCAACCTGTCACCACGAGCTGGTGTTCTGGTTCACCAAAGCAAAAATGACTATGATGCTTAGTGTCATGAATCACTTGCTCACAATGAATATGAGCAGGATCCATTAATTTCAGTGCTTTCCCTCTTCTGCTCCCACTACCAAATGGGAATGGAAAGCCTAGAAACCCGCAAAGGTAATATTAGCTAAGCATGTTCATGAGGAGGTAAGGGAAGCAAGTTTTTAACTCTTGTAACAATGGAGAGCCCTGGTTGGGAAAAACCGCCTTATAGTGATACATAAGAGCTCACCGTTTTCATGCCCACAATTGATTTTTCCACTTTGGTGACATAGGTTACATGATCCTCATTGGATTTAAGTTCTCTTTGCTGGATCCTCTCATAAATCCCCACCACCAAGTCTCGAGGAATATCAGCTCCATCATCCACACCTATGGAATATAAAAATACATAACAGACTAGATAGAGAAAAGATTCGTATGTAATGTACAGGGACAGCTTACAGATTACTATTTATTATAAACATGGAAAAGATTAAGATTCAGGCAAAGTCATTCATGAGTACACGTACACATTATTTCAATCTCAGTATAGGCTCAAGTCAAAGAGGTATTGCACAGGAATAATGCAACCCTCCAAATGCTGTTAGTACTTCATCACACTAGAGAAAAAACCCACTTAAAATCTGGTTTCCAACTCCTGCAGAATTCTGGGGTTTGTAGTTTAGGGAGGAGCCTTTAACAGCCTCACTAAAGTACAATTTCCAGAATTCTGTAGGAGGCGGAAACCAGATTTTAAGTTGATTTTTTTCTCTAGGGTGATGATGAGTTAGTCAACAATTCCTAGCTGTACTTGTCAGTATAGTCAATAGATAGGAATACTATTGACTACATCAAAAGAGTCACATAATTTTCACCTTTGGCAAAAAAAAGCATGACTAAAATCTGGGAAAAAATATTTGGCTAGAAATTATAAAGTTCAGTTTCATGAGTAGCTAAAGTACATTTTCAAATGTCCATATTACAAGTTCAACTACATAAATAAGATAATATTTCCTCTCTCCTAACATCATTCTCTCTCTCTCTCATATATGTGTGTGTGTGTGTGCATCACTGTCTAGAACATTACTCTGAATTTGGAAATTTGGAAAAACTGCTTTGAGTCCCCCTCGGCGTGAGAAAAGCGGTATATAAATACTGTAAATAAATAAAATGAATAAATGTACTTTTTGGATTACAATTCCCACAATTCCTTAGCTAACCTAGCTACCATTCATGCAGTTTGGGGGATTCTGGGAGGAATAGTCCACAAAAGTAATTTCCCCAAGTTCTGATTCCACCTTACTCCAAATTTTTCATAGCATTGACTCATTCAAGCAAGAACCTCACCCCGCAAGTTTCGAATAAAGTCCTCCAGCATCATCTTCCTGTCAGGTTTGATGTTTGGGCTATACATATCTGTGTTGAGAAGGATGATGGCAAAAGCCAAGATGAAAATGGTGTCTGGGTTATGAAACTGCTGGACCACATCTGGGTTACACATGCAATATCTCTGGCTGCAAGAGAAGGGAGACAAAATTAATAATATGCTGTTGTTGTTGCTGCTGCTGCTGCTGTGTGCCTTCATCCTATGGTGAACCTAACACAACCCTATCATGGAGTTTTCTTGGCAAGGTTTGTTCAGATTGGGGTGGCCTTTGCCTTCCTCTAGAATGCTTATATACAGGACTTCCCTCATCATGCTAAAATGACTGCCAAGCAAGGCAAATATTCTGATACAGTAGTGCAAGCAATTCCTGAGTAGTTTCTTAAAACAAAGAAACAGTCTGTTCACTTGGAGGAAATCCAAAAGTTAGAAGATAATTTTAACATGAGCAAGCTGTCTGGCAGATTGGTTCTTCTTCTGTATGATCAGAAGACTTGGCCCTTCAATAATAACTGACCCATGATAGGTTTTAAATGTGTGACACACAGCAATAATCGTGAAGAGCTCACAATTTGAATTTGCTAAATGAACAGGCACACAGCCATTTTTAATCCATAGGAAAAATGTTGCATGGTAGCTCAACCATTCCAGGCTTCTGTCATATATTGGTTTTCTTCCTGGTCATTTGGAGCATTTACAAGCCATCCAACAGAAAGATAGGTAAGACTGGGATAAATCTGTAATTTACAATGCAATACTAACTATGCCATCTATCTCATCTTAGGCTATTTGGTGGCAAGCTCAATTGCAGGTGGCTGGTTTCAGATGCAGACAATAGGTTCAGGAGGGAATGAGCAGGAGAATGGGCAGGGGAAACCATGACTGCCTTGTCTCCCTCCAGGAATCCAGCCTATATGAAAGGTCCCCAACTTTGAATTCTACAACCTTCATTCTTTGGGATAAAAAAGAAAATCCCTTACCTGGAATGGCTCCCCATCTCCCTCCCCTGCCCGCAACACAGGGAAATACATTTTACTCAGTTAATCAAATGAGATTTAATGGCTTTCTCAATTAATTGAGCAAATCTGCATTTATTTGCATATGACTCACTAGGGATTGATGGATCACTCCATGACTTTTTCAGATTTTCCTACTAACTAAAAGTATTTTTCAACCAATACTAATTTCTAACAGTATTTTATCCACCAAAAAAACACCTCCCAACTTCTGAAAATGTGTTATATTTGGGGAGGGGTGAGCTAAAACCCATGTTACAGTAACATCCAACAAATTACAGTAACATCCAATGCAGTTGTTGCATATCTTAAAAATTGTCATGTAGGTGTTCTTACCTGAAGGCTTCAATCAGTCGCTCCACCTTCTGGGCTTCTCCTTGCACCCGGATGTGGGCTTGAAATTTCCGCAAAGCTTCATCTAGCTCCATGCCAGAGAAGTCCATCTCATCTACCACGCAGCTACAAAGATGACAAAAACAACAGCATCATGCCCAATCCTCTGCAGATCACTATCTTTGAAGAAAGTATAGTAAGACCCCTGTATCTGTGGGTTCCTGGTCAGACCACAGTTTCCTGAAACTAACTTACCTAGCTTTCAGTCCCCACATACCATGGAGGTGGCCTGAAGGATCAAGGTAATCTGCAGTTTCACTTCTGCATCCAGGAAAAATATGGTCTCTCTAAGGCAGTGGTTCTCAACCTGTGTTTCCCCAGCTGTTTTTGGCCTTCAGGTCCCAGAAATCCTCACAGCTGGTAAACTGGCTGGGATTTCTGGGAGTTGTATGCCAAGACACCTGGGGACCTAGAGGTTGAGTACCACTGCTTTAAAGTTTTGCTAGGTCCTCCAGTGGGATTCTATAATAGCTTCTATAGTAGCTTCAATTCTCCGTATCATTTGGACAACTCTTATTGTCCCTACATGGGCCATGCTGGATGGATGGGACCAATGGGAGCAATGGCCTAAAAGATCTGGAGAACAAAATGTTCTCATTCTGTTACAAAACATTTACCTTAAGCAAAAGCATGATAAATGTAACCCTTAGAAGATTCTTCTTTCAAATTGTTCTAAACTGTCTGAAAAAGATAAAGTATGGCTCAAGCCACACAAACCTGCATTCTTTCTATGCCAGAGGTACTAAACACAAGGATAAAGAGAGAGAGAAAATCAATATGAATAGTCCCCCAAGATTTTTTTTTCCTTCAGGGGAAATATCGCAGGATGTTTGCAGGAGAAAAGTGCACTAAAAAGCCATCCCTCCTCCTTTCTGGTTGTTATTTTTATTTTCTTAAAACACATGCACTTCCTCTTCCCAAGAGGTCAGATCAAGACTTTTTGCTGTTAAATACATTGCTTTGATAACTTGCAGAAAATTTCCTAGTTAATCAATACCAGGATCACCATGGCAGTCACCTCCAGAGACTTCAAAATTAGGAGGAAAACATTTGCCGCAGTTTGTTTGCTTCCTTGCAAGAAGACACTATTAATACCTGTCTACAGAAGGGGAGTAATAGGTCCCACCTTTTTCTTTCAAGAGAACATCTGAGCCTGACCACTTCATACCAAGATGTGGTTCAAAGACTGCACCTTTAAGTGTGAAAGACCTAAAAGCTTAATGGGAGTTCTTTTTAAAAACTTTGCCTAAGGAAACTACTCTCAAATCCATACTTGACAAAAGAAGTGAGCAAATCCAAGCACACTTTGCAGGACTACGGCTGACCTTTGGCTTCCCCAACCACTCATTTAAATACATGTTGGCCAGTGAAGTCTGGCAGTGAAGAATAAAGAAGAAGCTTCACCTACTTACAGCCTGCCTTCCTACTCAGTGGGATTCTCCTCACTGAGGTGGAAGGAGAACTACGTTTGACACATGCAAAATCTTGGGGAAGCAGTAAAGAATGCAAGGGTTGTCCTTCCTTCAATTATTTTTTGTTACATCAGTTTGATTACCTAGTAGGACTTCATCCCATGGAATGAGTCCAGAATGCATCTTCAAGAGTTGCATACTATCCGACTCCAAACTGAGAAAAACAGGGAAAGTGGGGGAAAGACAGACTTCGATGGGGAAAGGACGTGGGATGGCTGGCCATTCCAGAACATGGATCTTGATGGAAGGGAATAGAGTAAGACAGTCCCCTCTACTTTCCCCCAGCTCATGGGATGTGGTACTTTTCAAGGCAAAATTCAAAGTTCTGGTTATGACCTAGAAAAGCCTATATAGTTTGAAAGGCCATATATTCCCATGTGAGCCTGCTCTCATTTTCAGCACTTTTCTTGGGGCTCATATACACAGGCCTAATAACCCATACTCACTGTGCAGTTGATTCTGACTATCCCCACAAAGTTCTGCCACTTCTGGTGAGTATCATGAGGTAAAACCAGATTAGTCCCACATTAAGAAAAGGTTGCCTGAAACTACATAGCAACCATTCAGCTTCAGTGTTGTGTAGATAGCAGGTTCAGGTCTGATTTGGACCATTCCAAAGGAAGAGGCATAGAGAATCATGCATAGTCACCTTGGAGCGGAAATGGCAGGTCACTCTAGCTGCTGGTTGTAATTTTTAAAAAAATGTAAACTTTATCTTGTTTTGTTTAGATTCTTATTTTGTCTCTCTAAGTCTTAGTTGTGAAATCATACTTTTATTATGTTTATTGTTTAATTTTTGAAAATGTGTTATTTTTGATGGAGTTGTGGATTTGTTTTTGGGATTTGAGGGGTTGGTTGTTTTTGTCTTTGTTCAGCTTCTTACAGCATTAAATGTTCACCGATATCTGTTGTAAACCGCCCTGAGTCCCCTCGGGCAGATAAGGTGGGATATAAATAAAGTTTTTTTATTATTATATTTATTATTCCACTGTCCACATGGGCCACAGCTGCCTTCCCTCTTTTCTCCCACTCATGAACACACAAAAAGGGATCTGTTTTGGATCTGTTTTGCTACCATTGCCACCCTGTGCTTACAACATCAGGGGTACCTACATGACCAAGAAGAAGGATGTCTGCTTGGGATGCCTGCAACCATCAGAAATTCTCACAGAGCTCTGTGGCCATCTGGGGATGATGACACCAATGGTAAAGTGATAGTCTAGTGGGGCTTACGAAGTGTTGGTCCAGCTGAACTCTGACCCACCACAGCCACAGATTCAGGATGGTGGAAGTGATCACTTGTGGGACATTTACTCCAGACTGGCCCTAGATTAGCCAGCCAGTGTGGATGAGGTCTTGGTTCACAGATGTCAAATCACATATAATGAGGACAAGAAAAAGACTTCTTGGTGGTTGCTCCCAGACTACAATTACCCCCTGCTTCAGGTACAGTTGTTCTCTGCTCTCTTTTCAACATGGAGAAAGGCATTTTGATTTAGACAGACCTTGGGGTATTAAGTGGTTGTGGCAGAAAGATCTCTAAATGGAGGCCCCATCTAGACTGCTGTATAATCCAGTTTCTGAATCCAGACTATCTGCTTTGAACTGGATTATATGGCACTATAAACTCATATAATCCAGTTTAAAGCAGATGATCTGGATTTAGAAATTGGATGATATGGCAGTGTAGATCCAGCTGGTTCTGCATTTTCATTTTTTAATTATGTTTCTAATGTCTCTTCTAGCATTTTTCACAGATTTGCTTGTCTGATGGTTTTCTAAAGGGCTTTTTAATTATGAAGTCTTTAGTTATAATCTCTAAGGCAGCCCTCTTTAGTCCCATGACAGAGGAAAGGTGGGATATAGAATGAATGAATGAATGACTAATAAACTAAGCAATCATAATAGAGTCTCCAGGGAACAATTTCCTAGGGATAAACCTTTTCACAAACTGATGCAACCCTGTGGGACTTTTAAGCAAGGAAGCCAGCCACATTAAAATTTGGTGTGTTGTACACATGGAAAACCTAGCAGCAGAGGAGGCAAAATAGTGTCCCTTACATGGTTTGGACTACAACCTCCACCATCCCTGGTTAGCATAGGTGATGGTCTGTGATTAAGTGAGTTATAATCCAAAGCCTTTGGAGGACTGATAGGTTTGTCTACTCCTGCTCTAGCATAACTAACAGAAGGGAACATCTACTTGCCTTTTACAAATTGTGGAAATTACAATACTTTTCATGATGCTCTTCCATTTGTGTAGGGCTCTATCTGAACAATGCAACCAAGCAGACAAGTTAGGAGAATTATGTGTCTTTCCCAAGGAATACAGAGGGAAAGCATAAAGAAAAAAATACCCAACATAAGAGAGAAAAGTGACTTGTAACTCCGCAGAGGAAGATATGTTGTCTAATGAAGATCTAACTCGAGTCTTGATCTATGAGCTTCTTTTTTCTACCTAACAACCAGTGACTAGAACAAAAGATTCAAATTACAGGAAAGTATTCTTTACTGCAAGAGCTATCTAGCTTTGGAATAAACTCAGTGAATGGCAGACTCTCCTTCTTTTAAGGTGTTTAAAATAGGGGTTGGATACCCATCTCCCAGGAGAATCATAGAACTGGAAGCCACATGGGCCATCCAGTCCAACCCCCTGCCAAGAAGCAGGTAAATCATATCAAAGCACCCCTGACAGATGGTCATCCTGCCTCTGTTTAAAAGCCTCCAAAGAAGGAGCCTCCACCATGGAGAGCTGTACATTCATACAGAGCAGGGAGTTGGACTAGATGGTTCTGGTAGTCTTCTCCAACTCTTCTGACTTTAAATAGTGAGTGACATAGATGACAGTTCATTTGACTGAAAAAGTTTTATAACAGATAAATGCACTTTCAGAATCTTTGCTTAAGATGGCCTCATATGAAAGATTCAGAATAAGTCTAACACTGGTGCTTCAAAAACAATAGGAGGAAAATCAACTAATGGTTTTATTGCTTTTGAAGGACAGTAGAATCTAGAGCCTCAGAGATCACTTTCACTGCAATTTCAACTGCCTTAATGTCATGCTGGTCCTTCCACTCACAGGTAGCATAGCCAGAAGCAACTTCCTCATCAAGTGGCAATGGTCTCCATCAAGAGGCATTATGCCAGTGCGTATTCTGCCACAAGGTACCTGAAACTAAACTCATTGTGGCACCAGGGCCTCCTTGCACAAGGATTTGGGGGCAAGGCAGGAAGCAGCTGTACGGTTGTGGGCCGGAATCTGCTCAGTCAAGCGCAATGACCTATTTTCAAGCTTTTTCCGCTCAGGTGACAATGCAGCGGGAGCCGGATTCCAACTAAAAGCATCTGTAATGAACTCACACAGCCCACACTCAGAGAGGGAACCAAGGCGAGGCAGTCAGGTGGAAATTCTTACAACCACAAGATTCAAAGATATTAATAAGTAAGAGCACTTTTCTTTCAAAAAAGGAAACAACTCCAGGGGCAAAAGATGAGGAGAAGCCTTGCATCAGTCTAGAGGCACCCATGCTTGCAACAAATCCCAGAAAGAGGTCACTAATAATCCAGCCAGTGACCTCTCTGTACTAGCCAATC